TTTCTGAAAGACTGCCCATTATCTTTAAACTACCCGATTTGCTTTAATTGTGGCAATTGGTTTGTAACCGTAAAGGATTGCGAAATTTGTGCAGAAAACTATTGGAAATATGGTCCCTTCACATCACGTTATTTGACAAAAAAGCAAAAAAAAAATGCAGGCAAATTAGAAAACTAATTTTTTTTTATTATTCTTGATTTTTCTTTATACTCATATTATAATTATTATATTTTCTTTTCTTTGTTGTCATTATTGATATAACCCTTTTGTTGAACCAACAAAAACAGAATGTAAATAAAACATTTGACTAATTAAAGTTAATTCACCTTATTTATTTAACAATTGATTTCATTCTTAAATATTAAACTATTGTTGTTCATTTGATTCATTGTTGAGGATTTCAACAATTGAAAATTTTGTGATTTCTAGTAAATATGTATTTAAAATTTTATTATGAAATCTAGAAATTGATTTAAATTTAATTTTTTTTTTTGTCAATATTCGATTTAAAATCATTTAAACTTTTCAACTCCCAATTTATTTTATTAAAATAAAAAAAAAAAAATTAAATTTCTTATTTTTGAGACCCTTGGTCTATTTAAAGAGGGGAGAGTTGTGACGTTGTAAAATTTACAATTTTACAAATCACAAAGGTTTCTTTAATTGTCAATATATTAAATCACTTTGCTTTATTATTCCCGAAAAAGATAATTTTAATATCAAAAATTTACTAGACGAAATCACATTATGGATTCGAGAAATGGAAAAATCTTATTTAATAATAATTTAATATTAAGAAATAATGTCTGTAATCCCTTTTTATTTATGTATTTTGGAGCCAATGTTCAACTGAAACAAGAAATTAAGAAAAGTATCAAGATTAAGAAAACTTTAAGAAAAATTGATTATATTGAATATTTTGTATTGATCAACCTAACCTCAATTTTTGATGTCATCAATGACTGGATATTTCTGGAATTTATTATCAAAATTTGGATATATTTTATTATTTAATTTGGATTCTTGAATATTCACTTCCGATGTACCCATTAATTGGATAATTGAGAGATGCCAAGTATTTTCACGTTTTATGCAAATATCACCCTGAGAATATTATTGACTTCGTTTCTTGGCGAAACACTCGAGATTATTATGATTTTTGGAAGGCTTCTTTATATTTTTAAATTGTTATTTGAAACTTCTGTTGCTGCGGGTAGCCAAAGCCCATATAAAATGTTTCATATTTTGGATTTATGTCAATTTGAAGTTTGAAGATTTTTACTTAACTGTGGCATTATCTTTGGAAATTTCAATATTAATTCCGAATTCATGAATATTTATATTGGAGAAGAACTATAAAGATTTACCATCTTGCGTCGGATTAACGTATTTAAATCGTTAATCAAGAAGAAGTATAATTATTATTCAAGAAAACAATTTTTATCAACAACTTTTATTATTGAATTTGAATTTCGCACTTGATCAATTTGGACCAATCAGCGTCAAGATATAGATGAAAATCTTTTTACCGACCGTCGAACTTTCTTTTTTTGTCCCGATCTTTTTATTTTTTTTAGATATTCATTTTTTTTGGTTGGCAACGAAAATCTCCTAGGTGAAAACAAACAACGTCTTTTTTATTCATTCTTTAATGTGATTTCGTATAAACCTGACGCTTTTTCTCAATTGTGTTATCGATTTTGATTTTTTTTGAAAATCTCAAATAAAATACGTTTTGGCCATTAATTATTACAATTAAAAAAATAAAGGAAACATCAAAAATAAAAATATAAAGATTCAAAAATAATAAAGAGGAATTATTTGGAAATAATTAAAGGAGATATTCGTCGTCAGCCATTTTGAACATCAATTTTTGGAATTCTTTGGTAAAGTTTTGATTACTATATTTACGAATGATATTTCAAAATTATTTAATTGTTTGAATTCTTCAATAGTGAATTTTCTTTAGATTTGAATTTAGATTTAATTTTCTTTGAATTTTAATTTGAATTTAATCTAAAATGATTTCTTTCAAATGTAATTGATTATTTTATTGATTTTTTTTGGAATGATTTAAGAATGAATTTAATTTGATTTTTGATTTAAAATTGATTGAAATGTCATTCATATAATTAAACTGTCAGTCTTTGAGTAAAAGCCTGGTGGCCGTGTGTACTCATCAGACTAATTTGACAATTAAGAATAATTTTAATTTAATTATCGAATTTGACAGTCTCCAAAAATAATTGCCTGGTGGCCTTGTGTATTTTTCCAGACTAATTCGCCGATTAAAGAAAATTTATTTAATCAATTTAATTCTTTTGTCCCTTAATTATTTATTTATTTTTATTTTGTCCCTAGAAAGGACTGGCGCCCAACAATTTATTCGAGTCTTCCCTTTTGTAACTATGATTTCATTAATTGATTTTCTTAACATTCAGCATCATTAATAAAAATCATTTTTGGTTACAATATATAACGCAAACTTGTAAGTTTTAAAATGATTTGACTAATGAAAAAAATTCAATTCTGCATAACTTTTTATTATCAAATCGTAAAACAGTTTTAAAAAATGGGTTTTGAAGCTGAAGTGTTTAGTACTGCATGACACTATTTCGTAAAATTAGAAAAAAATGTTTGGTAAGGAACAAAAACTTCACAAAAATGGTAAAAATGACCGTTTTTTGACCAATTAAACTAATATTGCAGAAAATCCTGATCTGGTAGACCATTTTGGAGTTCAGATTCGGCCTGTTTTATTGTAATTATGATTACAATTACACAGAGAAAGTACAGTATGACTCAACTTACAGCTGAGAACAGAAATGACTAAAAATCAGCCAATTTTTTGGTTTAAAACCATCCGAAGTCAATTTTTGGACTAAAAATCATGCTATGATTGCTGAAATTTAGTCAAAATTAAAACTTTATGTAAGTAATGTCAGTGAATGTGGGCTGGAATTATGATTTATTTTTTAATGTTGAATAATTTAAAATAATAATGATGAAAAAATTATTTATCATTATATACTTTCTTCTTTTAAAATAAAAAATTTTAATTATTTATTACTTTATTATAAATTTAATTTTAAGTATTTTACTTAAAGTAAAACTTCTATTAACACTAGTGTAAGCAAATCAGAGACCCTCCTCCCCCTAAGGTGCTTGCGTAATTCTTAAACGGCCCGATACTTTAAATTTTTTAAATATGTAAAAAAAACTTATTTTTGAAAATTTTAAAAAAGTTCCCTAATTTGTTCTCAAATTCCATGATTTTCCCTGACTTTTCACTGACTAAAAAAAATCCATGACTTTTCCCTAACTTCCCTGACTGCTCCGCTGGACACCCTGAATTCTTACTTTCTTTAGCATAGATCTAGAGTTCCTAATAGGTTTTAGAAATAATTCCGGCGATTAACTGTCAAAGGCATTAATTTTTCATAACGGGGGGCTTACTTCCAGCAGCCCTACAATTAAAAAAAAATAAAATTTTTTTTCTAATTCTGAATAGTTCTAACAGAGTTCTAGATTTTCCCATGATCTTAAAAATAGTTCTGCACATATGCAGTCAAAAACTTTAAAATTTCAAAACAATATTTCTTTTTAAATTGATTTCTGATGGGAGTTCTGTTTGACCCCACTGAGTTCTGCAAAAAAACCCTAATAAAATTTGTTTCTAAACTCAAATTAAAAGAAACTACAGGACTTTAAAATTTCCCAAAAAACTTACTTTTTTAAAATTGAGTTCCAAGAGGTTTGATGGGAGTTCTGTTTGCCTCTCATTGGGTTCTAAAAATATCTCTAATGGTATATTTCTCTAAACTACAAATTGAAAAAAATACAAAAACATTATTTTTCTTCCTCATAAGGAAGCTTTGAATTCGTGACGATTGTGTACAAATTATCTCAGACATGTTTTAACGGATTGTTTCTGCTTAATTAAAACAAAAACATGAATTTAATTTTAAATAATTATTTGATCATATTTGAAGGGTACCATATTTGATCTTACATATACGGACAACTATCTAGATTGTACCCGTTACAATCCAGTAACATCTTGATTATAGTGGGTAACATAATCATATTTTTGTAACATCCTTGATAGTGCCGAGTAGCATAATGATGGTAAATATGAGGCTATTTTATTATTTTAATTTTTATTAAAAACTGATTTAGATACCCCTTTTGTCATTCAACCCTTCACTTATATTGTTTATGCAATATATATATATATTTACATATTTATATTAAATTGATTTCTGTTTTTTGGTCTGCTTAAAATGAATAAATAATTTCTTTAATCACATCAGGCCGCAATAAGTTTCTTTTCTCAGAAATAAGCCAATAAGTTGAGTCGAATCGACATAAACCGATTTCAACTAGCGCCTGCTTGGTTTGGTTTATTTCAATTCGAATCCGCCCAGTTCGAATTTCAAAAATTCGACATTCGAGCCAGCGCCAGTTCGGTTCAGTTTATTTCATTTCGAATCAGTCCAGTTTGAATGTCGAAAAATTCGACATTCGAACTCAAGATAAAAATTCGAACAGATCGGACAGAAATTTTTTGCACAGCTCTAGTGCAGAACTATTTTTAAGAATTATGAGGAACTCTATAACTATGCTAAAGAAAGTCAGAACTCTAAAAAAATTTTTATTTTTTAATAGTGGGGGCCAACTTCACATGCATATAAAAAAGGAAAGAATGTTCACCTAAAAAAATTTTGTTTACAATTCAATTTTACAAAATTTTGATTACTCGAAAATCTTTCATTTAAATATGTATTAAAAACATTAATCAATAAAAAAAATATTAGTAAAACTTTTTTCTAAATGAACTTCTTTATAATTTTTAATTGAAACCCTGAATCCATTGACCAATTTTACTTTCCCTAACTTTCTTCTGATTTCCAGGACCTATGAAAATAATGCAGAAGGCATACACTCAAATTTTTTGAATCTCATTTACTTCTTCTTTAATAGTGTTTCAAAGATATTACAATATACAGCATTTAACTTTTGTGGTTCCAGCAAAGTCCTTTGTTGCATTTTGAAGGGAATTCCTCCCCCCAAATTGCGGCTGCGGCATTTCGAGCTAAAATTGAATCCTTTTGGGTCAATTCAAGATGCTCCCACGCATCTCGGCTAAGGGAGACGGCATCATTGATATAAATCTGAAAAGGAAGTGTCAACTTGTATAATGTAGCAAAGAATATAAGTAAAGAAATCAGCTATCAAGCGGTGCTACCTTAACATTCATATTTTAAAATAACTTATAGGCCGCATGAAAATAAACACTTTAAATTGCATATATTTTTTCAAAAAAGATTACTTTTCGAGAAAAAAAAGAAAACCTCACATCACCATGAAAACGTGATATTACAATTTTCTACGTTGGTTAAATGGTATTAACGACTTTCGTTGTTGTCCGGTCAATGGAACGTTCACTCAGCCGAGCAAGTTCCCACTATTTTCATGAAATGTTAAGGTCCAAATGAAGGTAGAAAAAAATTGAGACCGCGGGACCTGCTCAAATAACAAATTTATAACGAATTTTCATAAATTCGTTTTTTATTAAAATTTTTTTTTTTTATTAAAATAAAAAATCAAAAAAAAAATTTCTAATTTTTACCTTGAATGAAATTTAACAGTTCCCACTATGTTCCTGAACTCTTAAGGTTTAAATGAAGCTAGAAAAAATTGAGACCGCAAGACCTGCTCAAATAACGAATTTTTAACAAAATTTTGTTAAAAATTCCAAAAAAATTTCTGATTTTTCCCTTGAATATAATTTAAATTCCCCTAATCTGCTCTGCTGTTCGAATTTACTTTTGGTTCCTTATTTTCGTATCATTTATTTTAGATTAATACGTTTTACTACTTAGTTTATCGTAGAATTGATAGAAAAGATTTGCCTTCTAATTCAAGGGAAAAATTAGAAATCTTTTTTTTAATTTTTTACGAAAATTCGTTATAAATTCGTTATGTGATCAGGTCTTGCCGTCTCAATTTTTTTCTAGCTTCATTTGGACCCTAAGAGTACAGGAAAATAGTGGGAACATTTGACTTTCATTCAAGGGAAAAATTAGAAATTTTCTTTTGAATTTTTAACGGAAATTCGTTATAAATTCGTTATTTGAGCAAAGTATCATTAATGCCTTTGTAAGATTACTAGAATATTATAGTAACATTGCAGCGTAATATTACAGAAAAATTCCTGAAATCATTACCTTTAGACAGTCATTTTAATATTACGTTAGTTAGGGAATATTTAAATAAATTTAAAAAAGTGTACCTGTCCATTGAACAGCTCAAATTTTTTTGGCTCATTTCCATTAAGTTGATCGAGTTGATTTTGTGGAGGTTGATTCTCGGCATCCTGTAGATTATTTTGATCGTCATTATCAGCGTCTCGTCTTTCTTGGATAATTGGATTCTGGGGAATAAGTTGATTATCATTGATCTCTTCTTCATTTTCTCCATGAATTGTATCCATGGGAGGAGCAACAGTATTTTCATCATTATTTAAAGGAATTCTATGTTCTAATAATGTGGCAGCTTTTTTTTCTAACAAAATTTTTTCATTTGTTATAGCTTTACCACTTAATTTTCCATTTTTTAATTTTCCTTCTTTACTTTAAGAAATTGTTGACTCAGAATCCGAAATGTTCGCTCTAATTTTAGCTGCGGGCTTCCGTAATCTTGAATTTCTTAAAAAATATTCAGTAACTTGGTTTTGCACGTCTTCCTTAGAAACTGGAAAGAATGAAGAGCACATAATTGATCACAAGCATATGAAATCTACTACCTACAACATGTGTAGAATATGCCTTGTTTTATTAAAAATAACATAATCGCAGAAATAATTTCTATGTTTCAATGTTCTTTGACTGAAGCTGAAACTGGCATCCAGTTAATTTTCCAAAATTTTCCAAAGAATATTTATCTTTATATGTAATTATTAAAATTAAGTGGGTGTTAGATTCATTTTCAAGTTCTTTGACTTATTTTAATGGTAATTTCTGTGTCTAATTGAAATAGTTAATAGATAGTAATTTCATAATTTTCCAAAACATATGCTTTTTTAAAACTTTTGTCTAAGGAATTTGACAAATCATTATAATTTTCAGAGGTAAATTTGTTTTTCTTGTGATTATACTGAAACATATGTATATGATATGTCGTTTCCTTAATTTTTTTTAATATAGGGTGTTTTGCTAAGTTCATATGAAGTTAGCGAAGCACCCTCATTAACAATGATAATAACAAAGATTCAATAAATTCCTTTCCATAGGAATTAGCCGTTTTTTTGCCGTTAAACAATAGGCTAGTCCTTTTAAAAAAAAAAATTTCCAGAAAAAATTTTTTTTTTAACTGTCATAATTTTTATCTATTTAAAATTGTTAAAACAATTCAAACTTCCCACTAGACAAAATAAATTTCTATGAAAAAACAAATTTTTTGCTAACTTTTGTATTTTTTTCAAAAAATAATTGTTTAAACAATTTAAATTTACAACGATAAAATCAAATACATCACTAACTAACTAAATTGGTCCAAGGACCAATTGTAGGCTTAAACTATTAATTAAACAATCAATATTTCTGTGAAACAGTAGCTTTTGTGCTAACTTTTCTTTTTTTTTAAATTGTTTAAACAAATTAAATTTATCACGACAAAATCAAATATATCACTAACTTACTAAATTGGACCAACGACAAATTGTAGGTTGAAAATATTAATTAAACAATCAATATTTCTATGAAAAAACAGCTTTTTTGCTAACTTTTGTATTTAAAAAAAAATTGTTTAAACAATTTAATTTTATAACGATAAAATGAAATACAACACTAACTATTTACATTGGTCTAACGACAAATTCTAGGCTAAAAATAATAATGAATCGAACAAGCTTTTATGAAAAAACAGCCTTTTTGCCAACTTTTATATTTAAAAAAGAAAAATTGTTTAAACAATTTACATTTATCACGACTAAATCAAATACATCATTAACTAACTTAATTGGTCCAACCACAAATTCTAGGCTAAAAATAATAAATAAACAAACAAGATTTCTATCAAAAAACAGCTTTTGTGCTAACTTTCCCTTATTTTTTTTTAATGGTTAAAAAATTTAAATTTATAACGATAAAGTTTTCCAAGTAAAAAAATTCCAGGACTTTTCCAGGTTTTCAAGGAATCCCAGGTCATACATTAATTGCAAATGATACCTTTTTAAATTAACCCAGATAGCACGCAAGTTTGCTCTCAACTTGCATTGCAAGTTTGCTGCAAGTTTGCAAATACAACATTATATTTTGCAAAACTATAATTTAAATAAACAAAAAAAAACAATGCGCAGTTGAATTCTATAACACATAGGGCTGCGCAGTACATTTTTTTTACCTCCCAGCTATAGTGCTAAATACATAGTAAAGGGAATTTGTATCTTAAATTAAATTAATAATTAATTAATTAATACAAGCTTGCAAGCTTGCAGTGCAAACTTGCAAAACTTGCAATGCAAGTCGGCTGCAAGTTGACAGCAAACTTGCGTGCTATCTGGGAAGCCCAAAAAAATTACAATATTTTAATTATTTTTTATTTATCCAGCATATTTTAATTGCAAATGATACCTTTTTAAATTAAGCCTAAAGAAAATTACAATATTTTAATTATTTGAAGACTTATATTAATTTTAGCAAAATAATGAAAATCCAAAGATTTATATTTTTCTAAATTGATAATAGAATAGATTTAATGATGATAATTAAAAAATTGAATGCATCAAAAGATATTAATACAATTAACATTAAAGAATTAAAAAATATTCAACCAAGAAATAAATAAAAATTTGGAGTTTGGCTCATAAATTCGGATTTGTTTCTTTTTTCATTTTATCAAATAGTGTCGCATCAATCTGCAATAAATATAAAATTTACATTTTTTTTGATTTTTGAAGTTTCGGGGAAAAAATCATATTTTTCGTTCAGCTTAATATTTTTTAATCAAATATGATTAATATTTTAATTCATACTAATACCCAAAAAAACTGCTAAGTTTCACTTCAATCAGTCCGTTTTCTCGTGAATCGATAACTAAATTTTGAGGACATACATACGACAGGAAATTTTTTATGGTCATTTTTCGAATCCTTGATGTTCAAAATGACAAATTTTCAATTTGAAGCAATGTGCAGACAAAAGTATGATTTTATTGAGTCGGTTCCAGAATAAATGCAAAAGGCAAGTGCAAGTACAAGTCCAAATCACATGAGAGCAAAAGAGACAGAAAGACTATCTATCTCTTTTGCTCTCATGGTATTTGCACTTGTACTTGCCTTTTGCATCCATTCTGGAATCGCCTTTAATATAGATTAAAATTACAAAAAATTGCTTACCGCCAACAAAGTACAGAATGCAGTCAACCACAAATAGATCCTTTCTTTCAGCATCCCACCAATCTACTTCCACTTGCGGCGGAGATGGATACTTTTTGTAAAATTCATCCACAGAAGTACATTTGAAACCATAAATTTTTTCAACTTCTATTATGTCAGTTGTATCTTTATCCAGATACTGGACGTAACAAAATTTTATTGACATTTTTAATGAAAACTTTATACTTTAATTCAATTACTTTTAAGATTAGATACGCGAGATATAATGCAATGAAACTATAGGAATAGACGCTTTGGTTTTTTTGAATCAGAAAAACGGCAAATATCAAGGACAAGAGATATTCAGCAGAGTTGGGCAGATATTTTTTAAAAATTCTAAAAGTGTGGTCACATCACGCCGTTGGCTCTCTTGTGACGAAACTAACCTAAGAGTTGACCGTTGCCACCAATGGCGCTAGCAGTACAGTCGTGAGAGACGCATGAAAATCCCCTAAACTTCATATAACAGAAATGCAATTTGACAGAACTCTCATTGGACAGAATATTTACACGGCAGACGATTCATATAACAGACTTTTCACTGGACAGACGTTTGATTGGACAGAATTTTTATCGAACAGAAATGTCACGTAACAAAAATTTCATCTG